TGGTCTTTTTGAGACAGGGTCTCCCTGTAGCCCCAGCTGTCCTGGAACTCACTATGTAGACCAGGCTGGCCTTGAACTCACAGAGATCCTCCTGCCTCTGCCTCCTGAGTGCTGGGACTAAAGGTGTGTGCCACCACGCCCGGCCATCAGTGCTCTTAACTACTGAGTTATCGTTCTAGTCCCTTATTTTATTTTTACTTTACAATACTAGAGATTGAACCTGTGGCCTCCCACATGGTAGACAAGTACTCTACCACTGGGCTGGATCCTTATTCCTCTTTTTCCTTTTTATTTGCCTCAGTCTGGCCTTAAGTTTGCAGTCTTCCTGCCTCAGCCTCCAGGTAGCTGGGATTATGGTCCTAAACCACCTGACCTAGCTGATGATTATGATTATAATTATTATTATTTTTTTGGCCTTTTTGAGACAGGATCTCCCTGTAGTGGGGCTGGTCTGGAACTCACTATGTAGACCAGACTGGTTTGAATTCATAGAGATCCACCTGCTTCTACCTCCTGAGTGCTGAGATTAAAGGCATGCAACACCACACCTGGCTGTAATTGAAATAACATAAAAATACCACTGACACTATTTCAGATATTAGTTTAAACATACTTTAAGACTAACTTGAGAAGCTAGGTGTGGTGGCATATACCTGTAATCCCAGCACTGGGGAGGTAGAGATAAGTGACTCTATGAATTGAAGGCCAGCCTGGTCTACATAGTGAGTACAAGGCCAGCCAGAGCTATATAGTGAGACCCTGTCTTAAAAACATACTAACTTGAGAACATTACCACTGAATTAGATTTTTTATTTTTTAATATTTTGTGTATATGCATGTATTTCTTGCATATATGTAAATGTACCTGTTGCGCAATGCACACGGAGGTCAGAAGAGGGATTTGGATCCCCTGGAACTGGAGTTATGGGCAGTTGTTAGCTGCTATGTGCATGCTGGGATTTGAACTCATGTCTTCTGCAGGAACAGCCAGCCAGCACTCTTAATCACTGACCCATTTCTCCAGCCCCTAGATTTTTAAAAAAAAATTTATTATATTTATTTTATGTATATGTGTGTATTGCCTGCATGTAGGTAAGTGGACCCGTGTCGTGCAATGCCTGGAGGTCAGAAGAGGCTGTTGGAGTCCCTGGGACTGGAGTTACAGTTGTTAGCGGACATGTGGGTGCTGGGATTTTGAACCCAGGTCTTCTGCAAGTACAACTAGTGTTCTTAACCGTTGAGCCATCTCTTCAGCCTGCCCCTAGATTATTTTTAATGGGAAATCAATTGGATATTTCCTGAAAGATTTCCATTTGGTGCTTTTAGGAGAATAACTCACCACAAATGTTAGCTGTGGTGGCATTCAGATACACCTGCTTCCAGCTGGGTCTGTATCTCACACGCAGACTTTATTTACCCTTTGGAATCAAAGAGTTCTGAAGCAATGTCATTCATTACTTTTATTTATTTTTATTGTTTTGGTCTCTTTGAGACAGGGTCTCCTTGTAGCCCCAGCTGGCCTGGAACTCACTATGCAGACCAGGCTGGCCTTGAACTCACAGAGATCCGCCTGCCTCCCTCCCAAATGCTGGGATTAAAGGCATGGGCCACCTCGCCCGACATCCATTACCTTTATAAGATTGTCAATATGTGGGGACATCCAGACTAGAGTGTAGGATATAGATATGGCCCAGGTGGGCAAGGAGATGGGGTGGTCTTCTGCAGCTTAAATCCAGTCTGTCTTTGTAGGGTGACATGCCAACTGCCAAGCAACTAGCTGATATCGGCTACAAGACCTTCTCTGCCTCCATGATGCTCCTCACTGTGTACGGGGGTTACCTCTGCAGTGTGCGTGCCTACCGCTATTTCCAGCTGCGCAGCGCCAGGCGGCAATTGGCAGAAGAACAGAAGACCTCAGGAGTGCTGTAGAACTGTGGGCTCTTCCTCCTGAGCAGTGTGGCCCAAGGCAGGATGTGGAAGGACCTCACCCACAAGTCACCCACATCAAGAACTAGGGCCAGGATGTATTTCAAACCCTGCTGGATGAAACTGCCATGGATTCTATGGTACTACCAGTTTGTGCCAGTTTGACACTTTGTGGAGGCTGTCAAATAAATGCAATGTGAAGGTATATTACAGACATTAAATATTTTACCATGTCTGTGTCTTAGTGGTTTTGTGTGCATTCCAGAAGTGGAGACTTGATCACTAGTTTTCTAGTCATAGAATGGATCTTAGTGCTCATCTTAGCTCCCTGAAAAGGGAGACACATAGTCTTAGCAGTAGTTGTCTCTGGCCTTAGGGTCTGAGAAAAGCTGTTCCAGCTAGCCAGCGTTTGTTCGTTTAATTATTTTTTGGTGCACAGACTGAACCTAGGGCCTCATGAATACTATTACTGAACACACACTTTACTACTGAGATATACCTCCCAGTCCCTTGCAAAAAGCTCTTTGGACTAGTGACCATTCCTATACTGATTACTGTCTAGGTAATGGAGTACTTCAGTCAGTGTGACCATATTAGCACCTCTGGGTCAGGAGATAGAAGCCCTTGTTAGATCTAATACAAGTGTGTGATATGGCACAGGGCTAGTTCACAAAGGAAGGGTTGCTAGGTAGTGGGTAGTATATACAGTAAAGCAGTTCACCTTGATTAAGCCTACTGGAAGGATAGATTTTGAATTGTGCTACTTAGTGTACAATGAATCTACCTTAACAGAGATGTCAAGAGGATGTGATTTGGTTTTGAGGCAGGGTCTGATTGTGGCCCAGGCTGGTCTCAAACACAGAGATCTCCCTACCTTTAAGAGGATTTTTTTTTAAATATTTTATTATTTTTATTTTATGTGTATTTGTATATTGCCTGCATGTAGGTAAGTGCACCCATGTCATGCAATGCCCTCAGAAGACAGAAGAGGCTGTCGGATCCCCTGGAACTGGAGTTATGGACAGTTGTTAGCTGCCATGTGGGTGCTGGGATTCAAACCCCTGTCTTCTGCAAGAACAGTCAATATTCTTAACCGCTGAGCCTTTAAGAGGATTTATATGAAAAGTATCCAAGGGCCAGTGCGATGGCTCTGTGGGTAAGCTTGATGACCTGATTGGAATCCTGGAACCCACATGGTGGAAAGAGCGATCCAATCCCCAAATGTCACGTGTGCCCACATTAAAAGTTTTTTTAAAAGTTTATTCAAGAGGCTGGAGAGATGGCTCAGAGGTTAAGAATACTGAGACTGTTCTTGCAGAAGACCTGGGTTCGAATCCCAGCATTCACATGGCAGCTAACAATTCTTCTTAACTCTAGTTCCAGGGGATCCGACAGCCTTTTCTGTCCTTCACAGGCATTGCATGACACAGGTGTACTCACATGCAGGCATAACACTCATACACATAAAAATAAAAATACATTTTTTGGTCTTTTTGAGACAGGGTCTCCCTGTAGCCCGAGTGGTCCTGGAACTCACTATGTAGACCAGGCTGACCTTGAACTCACAGAGATCTGCCAGCCTCTGCCTCCCAAGTGCTGGGACTACAGGTGTGCGCCACCACACCCGGCAATAATAAAATATTTTAAGTTAAAAAGTGTATTCAAAACCAGGTGTGGCGGCGCACACCTTTGATCTCAGCACTGGGGAGACAGAAGCAGGCAGAGCTCTGCAAGTTCAAGGCCAGCCTGGTCTCCACAGTGAATCCAGGCTAGCTGTAACTACAGGGAGGCCCTGTCTCAAAAAGACCAAAAAAAAAAAAAAAAAAAAAAAAAAAAAAAAATTTTTTAAAAAAA